CTACCGCGAATACGTCACCTATTGATCATCAGCCTCCGCTGTGGACTTAACTGGAATCCTATATCTTTCAATAGCTACGTCGATTATATCAGTATGGTTGTGAACTTGAGGCGTTGAAGGAACGAATGTTGGACGGGTGGGATTATACAATGGTTAAATAGTCGTGAGACATAGTTCTTGGTAATGGTTTAGAATTATCCATTAGCAGACATTGTCAACCTTCGTCACCTCTCCGTCATGATCACCCAGATCCAGCTTCAAGGCCCTATTGAACATCTCGTAAAGCATCTCAAGACCCAGCTTGGTGACCGCAGGATCATACCGTCCCTTCGAATTCTCGTCTCTGACAAACGCATGCTACACGAATGAGATCAGTCATTGCCTGCAACGAGCCACTCAACAAGGACATACCTGAGCACCAGCGACTTCCCAGAACGAAAAGAAGACGCCGGCTTGATATAGAGTCTTTCTAATAAGATCACGCCCTTCCAACGGCACGTGGGGATCTAAAGTACCAAAGATCTAGAAAATGTCAGTCTCCGTGAGACCAGTGGCTTCAGATGCCTTACCATTAACAGTTCTCCCTTAATTTCCTTCGCACGCTTCAGCGAGTCATCGTTTTTCCCCTTTCCAAGAGTAGCGGAATGTATATCTGTCCCAAAAAAGCACACGGCCGCTTTGACCCGACGATCGAAAGCTGCTCTGAATGCAAGATGGCCTCCAAGACACATGCCGGTGGCTCCGATCTTGCCATTGCATGTTGGAAGACTAGTCAAATAGTCGATTGTAAGAGTGGCATCCTCATCGTAAGACTCTAGTGGCTTCTCGATCTTGTAGTCGTTGCCCTTGTCGGTTCCGGGGCCATCGTATGGAAGCGCGTCCCAGCCTGTACGCAATTGTCAGCGACCCACTGCAGATTCAAGTTGATTGCAGGTACAAATGCAGTACGAATACTCACTTTCGAAGTTATGATAAACTGAAGGAGCGGCGACAATGAATCCCTGGCCAGCGATCTGTTTAGCGAGACGTGCGACAGGGCCTTGGCGCGATATACATCAGCAATCGGCTTGTCGAGTTCATTTGATACACATACCGGTAACTACAAAGATTAGCATATCATTTATAAGGTATACAACATTGTAGATCATAAGCACCTTGATAGATCTCAGAATAAACGAGAACGCCGGGGAACTTGGCCCTGGGATATCCAGGCAGGACAGGGTGATATATGAACACCCGCATGCTCGTGCCACACGATGTCTTAATGTCAGTATAAGTCTCGTTAATCAGCATTTTGTGCGATTGATCTAATGGTTCCAAATGCAGTCTAGGATTCAGAGTGAGATAACTTATTCATAGACGAGCGGTCGCGGTTAAGTGTCGACCGCACAATGATGACCCAGAGCTGGGTCAGACACGAATTCTTGAGCACCCGACTAAACTCAGTATGGTCGGCCGATCGGTTCACACGATTTATGCTGCTTATAATCCCTGCGAGTATATCATGTAAAAGTACACAGACGACGGAAAATTCCATCCAGACCTCCAGAGATGATGCTTCTAAACTCCAATTTTCGATGGAGTTCCGTTGATATCTGAACAATGAGAATGGAATGTGCACAATCCGTCAATTTCTAAGTATTCGTCTTATATACATGCCTACAAATATACAATATACATTCACCTGTACAAAGTTAGTAAACAGCTCCACTCATTCTTTCACCGCCTATGAATTTCATGCGACATATTACAGACGTAGATTTCCATATCAACGGAAATGCAGACCGTGGACAGATGCAGTTCCAAATGGTCGCATATTAACCGCGGTATCTTCCAAAGAAATAGACGTAGGCGAACTTCTTCATTTCATCAACTTCTCCGCCTCTCACGACTTTCTCATCATTGAAAAGGACCCAGTCACTGTCATTCGCCGTACCGCTAGGCTGCTCTCCGATTGTTTTCTTAATAAATGTAACATAGTGACCGGCATGGACACTAGCGCCCTTGTGACAAATAAGACTATGCAACTTGAAGAGAGCTGGCATCAAGGTATCACCAGCAGTCACTTCCCTATGTTCGCTTTGAGCCTCAGGAGTAGACCCGTCATCATCAGGATGACTAAACAACCATTCCACTGCCCGTTCCATATCGCCTCCAGTCTCTTTGAGAGACTTCTTCGCCTGAAGCAAAGTGAAGCCCATATCTGCGAGCACGGCAATGCTACCTTCAGATATTTCTACATTCGAGCCTACTTTGCCAATGTTTAAAGGATCGTCAATATCAGGATCTTCCATGTGCTGGAAGAGCCAATTCATGGCGGCGTCAGGATCTGAATTTCCAGTGTTATAGAGAGCCTTCTCACATCGAGTCGATGGAAATCCCATTTCTTCCAGCATGGACAAAATTCCTCCATTGGCAACAAATTCGTTGTCAGAAGGAGGGGAGGTCTGGGGAAGTAGCTCCTCTCCAGGCTGAAGCCCAGTCGAAAAGTAATCGTCTAGAGAAAATGGCTCGTCGGGAACAACAACCGGGATATCTGTCTATCGTAAATACACCTTGAACTAAAAAATTGCTCGAATTTGTCTCAACCATACCTAATTTTGTGGGCACCCAATTGACGAGCTCAAAACGTCTTGCGTTGACTACTAGAACCTCTGGGAAAGTCTTAAAAGCAGTCCGTGTCACTGCCCCGTCCTTAGAACCACAAGCCTGACAAGTGTACTCCAACCTCTCGGACTGAGTAAAGCGATCCAGGCACTCTTTTAAAGAGACACCCTCGAAATCTTGATTATCTTGTGAAGATCCCGTAGACAACCTCTCAACCGGCACTGGTACTGATATATTGTCTTGCACATCTGTCTTATAATTCACTTTTTTACATCCGAGACATTGTAACCGCTGCTCCGAAACGAAACTGAAAACCTTTGTGGGGTCAGCATCATGCGTCTGATGCGATGCACGACGAATCGTCTGTATCATGTAGAGAAGAAATTCAAAAGCATCTTGTTGACGCATGGTGGAGAACTCGACATGGTTTTTGCCCACAAGAGCTTTGAACATAGATGGAGCAATACCTTTCGGGTATGGAGACTCCAGTTGCTCTTCTCCAGTAGGTGGAAGGGAGTATCTGCCAGAGAGTAAACCATCCGCAAGCTTTCTTAACTGTGTCTCCAGATCATTGGCAGGATCAAGAGTTAAGGGCAGATCACCATTTGGATAGTAATATCTATTAATTCAGTAAGCCAGTGACACATCCCAAATCAAAAATATCTGGTACCTTTCTTGAAATGTAGGTAGAGAAAAAAGACACTGAACAACGGATGCTAAGTAACAGGAATTGCCAAGATTTTTTAATCCAGTGAATCCTGGCCCGAATAGTGGCTGGAGTTCCTCGCCGCTCTCGTTGGTCATGCTGAACTCCCATTTCATGTTGTGCTCAAGTTGCTGACAACCTAGGTAAGCGCAATCCTCATCTAACCATAGATCCTATGAACCTTACCAATTCGACCAAGCTCTTCTCTACCTTCTGACGTTCAGAGATTTTAATACCCCAATGCCAAAGACGTTCAGCTAGGTTAGGATCCTGTCGCTCCTCATTGCACAGGTAGCAATAAACATCTATATTTCGAATAAATCAGATTCCTGCCGCACCATCGCACCACAGCACACCTACCAGCAGTTCCATCCGGTGTAATACTGCCAAGCTTCACTGAAACAGGATGCAACGTCTGCTCGAAATGAGTAAGACCATGGCTATTTCCACCTACTCCACCAAATTGCTGACGCCCACAGCCTAAGTTACCACATTTCAAACAAAGCCATAGATTTTCCTTCAAGTCACACTGCGAACAATGTGCCAGTTCTAAAAGCATATCTTAGCGCCAATAACCCGATAGATGTCTTATTATCCTTGTACCTTGATCAGCCAAGACTTTAGCTTCATCCTGGTCGAGGACAATAGTATGTTCGCATGGTAAGATCTCTTCTTCCCAGGCTTTTACCTCAGACTGCTTGGTCGAAGAGAGTGCAGTCAAGACACCATTTACCACTTCGGCAATCTATAAATCGTTAGGCGAGAACTAGAACTATAGAACGAATATTCTAACCTACATCAGGCGTTGCTTTATCTAGCTCGAGGCCATTACATGCAAGGCATTTAACGCGAGTCGTAGTGTCGTAGTAGTCCGCCTCACTTTCGCCAGGAATCGACAACTTCAGGATCTTAGCTGGAGATTCCTCGCGCTACCATAGAACGTTAAATTTTCAACACAAATTCTATCGAACACATACGTACCACCTTTTTTGGTTTTTGTTTTCGTTTGATATTCAGAACAATAGGGTGTTGACTGAGGCGATAGTGCTGGAAAGAGTGATTGCGGTCAGGCGAGTCGCAACCGCCATTGAAGCATGATAAGCACACATCAATACCCCATGGTTGATCCTATAGACATCATTAGTAACCGACTTGTTCAAAAACACTTCCCATTGGGAAGACAAAAATACACTTGCAGGTGTATCAAAACATTGAGTACAATCATCCTTATGGACTTGTTGAGTCGCTGTAGGTGGACGTAGCGTAATGCCGGTAAGGTGTGGGCAACTCATATCGCTGAATAAAATTAAAGTACGCTATTATGAATATTGCCTAGACCAAATGCTTGGATTTGTTTGTCAATGCTAGACCTAAGCGGATATATGCTTGTTTAGGTTCGTCTTCTATTGTGCCCATTGGAACTTGGATCGTAAATCCGGGGACTTGTGGCACCGCCAAGTCTTAAAGCGAAACAAGCGTTGACGACAACCTACACTATGCAAACATCTAACTCACAGCATCTACATAAAAGGAGATTCATTAAATGATAAAATTTAAAACTTGCTCTTACTACGCTTACTCATAGTTTTAGCGTCAGGAAATGATTAGTGGGATTCCAGAAGATGATGGGTTAGGGTAGGGCTTTAGATTAGTCTATATAGTGATATTGAACATCTGTGTCGATATGGGTTGTATAGTGTAGTGGCTATCACACCAGATTTTGACTAATTGTGAAGATTTCTGGTAACCCCGGTTCGATCCCGGGTACGACCTCATGATATTTTTTTGTAAATATTACCACCACGGAGTATTAGTATCAGTTGCACTGTTTTGGCGCTGATACATTTATTCTGTAGAAGACTTGAATGCAATTAGCGGATGTGGTGAAGTAAATCCAACGCTTTATGACCCGCAATTTCTTGGGTAAGTGGAAGTTCCAACGCGCGTTCTCGACGCGCCTAAATTAAATCAGGAACATATGCCCAGTTCCTAAATTGCAACTGCAATTCAACTCGCTCACCCATCTCATAGAGTAGCAGACATGTCTATCGTATCACTTTTGGGAATTAATGTTTTAAATAATCCGGCGCCGTTTACTGCATCGTACGAATTTGAGATAACATTCGAGTGTTTAGAACCACTGAAGGAAGGTATGTCAACTTGCCCTCTGATCATATGATAGAAGAAATTGTTGACGACTGTACTAGATCTCGAATGGAAGCTTACATATGTGGGATCATCGTCATCGTCTGTTAAACAACTTTGCATTTGATGCCTGTGATTAGTCTGTCTAACGACTGTTTTGATCAGATTTGAGCACGACCAACTGCTGGACTCCATACTCGTCGGACCAGTCCCTGTGGGTATCAACAAATTCCTCTTCACAGCCGATCCTCCATCGCCGGAATTGATCCCTGCAGCAGAGCTAGTTAGTGTGACAGTAATGTTACTCACCTGCTCGTACAATGGGCAAGAATTTGTTCGTGTGGGATATTATGTGAATAACGAGTATGATACTGAGGAGCTGCGAGAGAATCCTCCGAGCAAAGTCCAGATCGATCATGTTGTTCGAAATGTTCTTGCTGAGAAGCCACGAGTCACAAGGTTTAATATAGAGTGGTACATAGAGGCTAGATTTATATAACTTGAAGGATCCTGCTAATGAGATTGAACAGGGATAGGGACACAAAAACGGAATCGCAGGAGGCGCCACAAGATCCTGAGGAGGACGATGTCTTATAGAGAAGTGGTTGAGACTTGACGACGAGTAGTTGGCGATTATTTCGGTTTTTATGAAATTTCCGGCCATTTTCTGAGAGCTTTGTAAACTAGATTGTATAATATTAAAAGCGCATGCTACGATACGACAGGAAATTTCTTGCACACAATCAATCCTGCAACACCTGAACTTTCTACAATACTAATCCCAACAGCATCTTTATTTAGCCTCGCAGGGGCTTCCCTTTCCACTGCGCAGACGATCTAACATGCAAATCCATATTCCAGTTTTTCCAAACCTTCTTGCCGTACAAACTTCTCATAATTGATTCTCTGTTGGCCAACAACTCTTGAGCAATCCGCTCTCTATAATGATTCAATCCAGTCGATGTAATATTACATGCATCAACCGCTCTCGAAGCTCCCACACTACATGCCAAAGATCCGAAGTGTCCCATAAAATCGTTTAGCAGTTTTCGTCTTGTTGGAACAGCTAAATCGCTCTTAGATAAAATTGCTTCCACAACATGCGAAAAAATGGTATTCTCGGTAAACTGCAATTTCGTCTCAGGAGGGAATGCAATGAAACTAGATCACTGTCAGCATTATCCTCGTCAAGCATTAGAAACTTCGTCGAACTGGCCTTTCTACAATTGCGTCCGAAAGCTGAGGAATAGTTTTTAATAGGTTCTCGACCAGTATCGAACGCTGCTTTAGACTGTCGTTTGCACCGCTTCGCTGTCTCGCACTTATGTTCTCGAAGCTGCCGATATCCAAGAGCGCCAATAGGATATTGTCCGCACCACTGCATAAGCCAGTGACCTTCTCTGCAACATCAGTTTCAAGTGATCCATGCTGCGATATAGCAACAATGATATTGTTGAGTAACACAATATTTTGCACTGGCCTCCCGTTAAATCGGATTCACTTACACTTCAGACATAAACAAGACTTACGGGATAAATCGGTCACTTCGTCCAATAATCTGGCACTGAACTTCGCAGCGGATTTCGTGTTCAATCGCTGCATAAGTGCTTTCACTGCAAAGCTAAAGCCCTTGGCTTTACAAATAATGTGCAGTCGAGGTGTAAAAAATGACATATATAAATACTCCACAAATGATAACGGACAAGAATAGAGCATCTTCTCCAAGAAATGAGACCCGACAGGGTGTGACAATAAGTTCTCGAGAAAAGAGACCGACATGAAATCAGGTTCTCCTTCATTCGTAGGAAATATTATAGAAAGTATGTTGCAGCGAAGCAAATCATCCTCTAGCTCAATCAGGAGCTGCAACACGGGACTTGATACCGGATCCAGCGCCATTTTCCGCCCTCCTTCTAATGTGATCCCACTGACCATAGTATTTAGAACGTCTTCGATAAATTGTTTAAAAACAGCTGGGCAGTCGGATCTACGATAATGACGCATGGCCGGATCGGCGACTTTCTTCTGTCCACCGAGTGACTTCTTCCCACTGAGTACTGACGAACCACTAGTTAGTACAAGCTCCTTGCCAGTGCATAAAATTAAGAATGATCTGAAAACATGTGAACCGTAAGGATGAAGCGCGATTCTTGGGATATCGTTACGAATTTCTGCAAAGAAATCACTAACAGCACTTGTTACTGGAGCATTCTCTGTGTCAATTGTAGCCACTTCTAATAGACCTGGAGTCTGCTCGACCTCGGAGGTAATAAATGTTCTGGAGCAATTTAATAAGGTCTCTAAGCAATGCGATGAAAATCGTTGGGTTGAAAGCTCCGAAAACCTAAACATAACGTCAGCTTTCTATAGCAACCTACCGAGCTCAATACATATGTAATAAATACCTAGTAGAGTACGCTTTATAAGTGTCGAGTAACTTCTCTTTCGGAGCTGCGAGTAGTAGTCGCTCAAAAAGTTTGGATCCAGTGGGATCTGTCGACACCTTCAATTCGATGTCGTTGACTTCCGACCACAAAGCTCCATAGAACTGCTCTCTTTCTTTCAAGGGGAAACACGTCATTAGCATTCTGAGGTGTGTATAACTAAATCTCTATCAAATCCCGTATACCTTCATCAGACGTAAAAGTGTTTGAAGTCATGATTCCTTCCGCTTCCTTAAAATAATCAATCTGCGTACTATCTAGTAATCCATAGAACGCCTGCTGCCCCACGGCTACAAGAAAAATTGGTTAGCAATTATATCCCTGTAAATCCACATTGTTCACAAACTACTGGCCTGTCATACCATGTTGAACTTCTTCGTCTTGATAATATTGCTTCTCTTCTACTGGGTTTGAGTCTAGCTCAGGCTCCGGCAGAGACTTCTCATATGGCTTCTGATGCAGCCTTCGACCCCTCTTTTTCTGTTCTCTCGGCATGTTCGGCGTCTATAGCAAGCTGACTGCTGGCGCCGTTCAGTATGCACCTAAGAGTTGTACGACAAGTTTTCGCGAGGTTGGGATCACAAGTTTACCCCAGAAAAAATTGGCTACTTGAATGGGAATTATCCTCCCTAACCCTACCTGCTTCGCTTAGTTTTGGTATCAGGCATTTATTTCCACTGTACCTAACCGTTCTAATACCATGGCGCCATCGTAATAAGCCAGAAAAGTTCGGTGCAGATTGTAGTAGGTTCTGCCCTAACTCATGGGACGAATTAAGCCATTCGGTTGGGCAGGCCGAATAACGCACTTCAACGAGATTTTGCGAAGCGCCTGAAAGGGTACAACACCCTTGGTGCTTCAGCCCCAGGGTGAAGGAATGCTTCTTGTACCTAGCTACTCCCGCCTTAAAGGCTTTCAGGAGGTCATCCATTGCAGCGTCCCGTATATCGTAAGGTGTCTCCCCGAGCCAGGGCTTTTGCAACGACTCTATTGCCTCTTGGTTGATCGCTCTAGCTCTCAACTCCTTCTTCGATATACGGTGCCACTTATCCTTATGATCCCTTATGGCGCGCCTTTTTGTTTGTTCTTTTGGCTTCGTTAAGGGGTCTGCCAGGGGTCTAGTCGGCCGTCTAAAACAAGTCGGTGTGTATTCCTGACGGCCAAATTGGATAACCCTAACCTTCTCGTGCTATCTAATACATCATATCTCGAAAAGCTCCTCATATACCTTCGCGCCAAACCTTTTGCCCCACTTTGAACATTCGCTTACCAGCTTCCTGCTACCACAAGATATAACCCACATTCCAGGCCATTCAATACCGGGCACGGCATCCAAATTATTCCTGAACGCTCTTAACTCCTCCTCAATGTTCATACGCTGATAATTTAATTTTATATTCCTCTGCTTTATGAAGTCCTTACCATCACCAGCGCACTCGAACTCACTGCTATGACTCGAAGACAGGTCGATAGACGTATCGTCGACACCGTGCAAGCTGCGCTCTCCAATCTCACATATCTCTTGTAGTAAGAACGTGTCATCAATCTCGGCCACGCCTTCTGGACTGATGAACACGTCTACACCTTCTAGCCCGAGAGTTTTCAGTAAAATAAGATCCTCCTTCGTTCGCGTAGCCCACAACAACTTGACTTTCGCATTTATCTGTCTCAACGAGGTAACAATCGGTGCTGCAAATGAAATGCCAACGCCACCAGTAATGACCACAATTCTTCGCAATATTTGAGTGTTCTGATTCATGTCCACGAAAAATTCATATGTCGGCGATGGGTACGGACCGTATATTATGCACTGGTCATCATCTTCCAATTGGAATCGCTTGCCGGGCTTAACAATAAGCCGAACACTCTCTTCGTCCGACGCTAGACTCGCTATAGTATATGGATGCGATGCGGCAATGAACCAGAACGGCGATATTAGACGGGTTGGCGCAATCCGGACATGTGCTCCGGGCGAAAAGTATTTTGGGAATAAATTTCGTGGCAAAGTGATGATCTGAGTGTGTGTGCTGATTCTTCGCACGCCTAACCTTACATACTGACCAAGAAAATGTCGCTGAACAAACTGACCGACAAGAAAAGCTACTAGATAGAACACGATCAACCATATTTTCGGGCGCGCATGATATGCCAGAATTGGGACGCATGCCCAGGCGAACACATAAT